CACCAATGAGTTCAGAGACTGGTGTCATGAGGTCAGTAATTGTAAAGCAGACCTGAATCTGTGTCTGCCCCATCATCATCCTTATGTGCCCGCAGTAGAAAGGTGGAGCACAACAAGCCCAGAGGCCTGAAACAGGCACTTTTCCTGGTTTGATGAAGCATATGTGGGGAAAAGGCTGGAGGAGACGCATTAGTGAGAAGAGTGGATAGAAGAGGACTCATGTTCTTAGATAAACTCCGAGAACTTACAGCATGATAGTGAGAAACAGGAACCCTGCCGGAGGTGCCTCACACATCAAAAATTATTTCCAAATGCTGCAAATTCCTTGTCAGTTGGGAACCTTGAGGAACCAAACAAAACAAGTATTAACTGCATTAATTATTTTTTTGCACTGCATCACTGGCCGCCGGTTGCCCTGATCCATATCCACACATTTTCAGGAGCCTGAGTTTGCACCATCTGTTCTGCTGCTATTTTCACACCTCCTGTTTCTCACACTCCTCTTCACACTCAGGCAGGTCCCTCCTACCAAGACAATGCCAGCCGTGCATCCGTGACTCTAGTGCGGGAATTTCACTTCATTGCATGGTGCCAGCATCAGCCTTAATAAGTGAGCTATCACACCACAAGTAACTTTTCAAATCCATTGATCAATATTTCATACCTGTTTATCCAACAAGGGATTGCAGTGAGCACAGGAACTACACTCGGAAGCAAAGGGCATCAGACATAAAGTGCACATCCAAGATGGGAAGCGACCATGCACGTTTTTCCTTTAATTTCCACGTAATTAAAAATTACAGGGGCAGAATATCAGAATTTATTCCTACAGCCCAGACCCTCAGCATAAATTGTCCTTTGTTAATATTGTTCTACATCTCCTTCGCAACCTGGCTGATTAGCTGAAGAGACAATCTGCATTGAATGCTGCACACAGTAGTGGTAAATACTGTATACAGATCCGCGTACATTGCAATTTGTCGTATTTCACAGCATTTAGGTCATTATGTAAATCTGTATGGGGCCCATAAACTACATTTCCAAGCTAAGCAGGTTAAGACTTGTTACCGTTTTCCCCCAGTATGACACTAAACCTAATTGAAGTTATACAACGTAGACTATATCGTAATATATAAAGGTATAATCAAATGATTTGTGCATCATGCACATTGGAATCTACCAAGTACAGAAGCTTGAGGTAACCAAAGTCTTCTACAGGTGCATCTTTAACAAAAGAACCTTCACAAGGAGGAGTTTTATATGCAGATATTTCTTTTCTCTGCTATGTGAACAAGGACAAAAATTCTTTTTTCAAATTTAATTCATTTTTAAATTACACAAGACACAACAGGTAGGCAACATACAGACAAGACTGTCCCAAAGGGACACACACCATTTAGCTGTTGACAGCTCCACTGAAATTATGTCTTGGAGTATGAGGGCCCATACACATCTGCACTTTGTGTGTGGAGGATTCCAGTGGTTTGCCAGTAGTGTAGTTTTTTGGCAGCTGTGAGACCAGACAACAGCAGAATCCTTTGCTGAGATGACAGAAAGAGTGCAGAGAAGTTTTTCAAAAAGAAAATGTCTGGTGTAAGCCTGAGTTCTCTTTCAACTAATGAAGAGGTATTGATTATCAGCTGTCTCCAAAAGGTATAAAGGGATGGACATTCCCAAAAGAAATGCATAAAAGTCTCTACCACCTCATGAGTGCACAGAGTGCAGATTTGAGAGGGAGTCAGTCTCATATGGAAACGTTTCAGTGGTGTCAAGTGTGCCCCGTGCACCAGCTTCCAATGACTCACCTGAAGCTTGGTGTTTCTTGAAGACATTACGATCTTATTCCAAGTTGTGTGGGACAGCAAGTTATACACGTCTAGACCTTTGCCCAAACCGTAGCGATAGCAAGCAGAATATAAGAAGACTAAAGAAGAAAAGAGTAAATGGTGGAGACAGAGCCTGGATCCTGGCCATTTGGATGAATTAATGTACACAGAAGGCAACGCTAAAAATAGCATCTAATTCTAATCTAAAAATCTAATTCTAAAAATAGCATGTTGTCATTATTCAAGGTTTTTGAATAATGCACACACACACACGTTTGTATTCATATAATTGTGGGTACTCTCCATTAATTTCTATGGGCATAACCCTATTGCCAATTATGCCAACACAGTCCTATTCCTATGGACATCCACCCACAAACGTGCATACTGACTTCATTATTTCGGAAAACATCAAGCAACTAGCAGGATACTTTAAAATGAAACTAAAAACTACTCAATAAAGGAGGTTTGGTCAAGGAAGATTATTAACTGCCACTGCTGTATAACATATCTGTCCTACAATAGCCAAATACAGAAACTAAACTGATAATGAAACTAAGAAAAAAACCTTCAAAATGTCTTGATTGGCCACTCATATACAGTATGTAGCAGATAGGTAAATAATAGTCTTCAGAATCAAGCATAGCTCAACTAAAATATTTTGTCGTGTGGTAAAACTGAGCCTAAGTGAAATGATCAATTTTGATGAAATATGCAGTTACAGTGTTTTGCCTTTATACAGCAGATATGGTCTCCTGCTTCTATAAGCCATAGTTATGCAGCATACTGAGCAGCAGTTCTCTTTGGGGGTATTTTAAAATGCATTAAGAATTTTAGGACTTATTTTTTCAGGGATCATAAATATATGTTGCTTTTCTAGGTCATTAGATTCTATTCTTGGTAAAATAGAATAGAAACTAGAATCTTAAAACCCAAAATTCACTTGGGTCTTGGTTGGGGATTGTAAGTAATTCTGTTCATGGATTATTCTTAATACTAACAAGGTGCACTGCAGTTTGGAACAACTAAATTTGTGCCTTGAATGACCTAAGGTGAAATTTACAGGAAGCATCTCCAGCAGATCTTCCCTGCACCCAACAAGGAAAGGCTGTCTCTTGGTCAATAAGTGGGAGATTAACTGCCTGGCTTGACACAAACCCTGGGGCACATGGGAAACACTGTGCCTCGTCACTGATGGACAGTCAGCCATGAAGGGCAGCCCAATAAATCACCAATGTGCTCACCTTCTGAGATGCTTTACCCAGGCTAGCAATGAATTAAAGCTAAAACAGTGTGGGATGCCAGCACCTGTTCTTCAGCAGTAAGGTGCTGGTCAGAATGAAGTTGGAGAGCACTTTCAACTTTCAGGTCAGGATTTCAAGGTTGCCAATTTAGGTCAAATAAAATTGGATGTTCTTCCATTCTTCAGGTAACAGCGATGAGAATTAATCACTAACAATGATCCCGGGTCGAATTAAGAAAAAAAAACCTAAATCTTACTAATGAGTTCATTAATGAAACCTAATCACAGTGAGCATCATGGTATAACTAATCCCACCTTTCAAACATCGAACAATACACATCATAGTTAGGTGCCTAAACATGAAAAAACAAAACAAAAAAATACTGCTAAGTCTAAGGTTGTTTGACATGTGATTACGCTGGAAGAAAATGATTTCAAGGATATGTCTTATGACCAGGGGGTACATCTCGTGAGGAAGAACCTTCTGACACTTAGCAGTGTAATGTTGTTCCAGATGTGGCTGATAATATTGATGAAGGAGACGTTGTGCTTGTGCAATTCCATGGGAAAAAGACCCAGTATTACTGCACTTGCAGGATTATTCAAATAAGTTGAAACCAAGTTTACAATCCAAAGTAATAACATTTGTAATCAAGAGAGTGGTGAATAAATTACATGAAAAATGCACTTATAAAAGGTTTTCAATACTTCCTTTAGCTATGGCCTGAATTATAACAGCCAACTTACTCCATACCATGTTTAAACTAACCTCAATAGTGAGGTTATATGGAACACCCAAAATAATCTTGTTTGAAATGGATCATATAGAGTATAATCAAAGAGTCCAGGAACATTATATGCAACATTTGTAGCTTAGATACGTATGATAGCAATGATACAATATTCCAAAAATAAATCATGTCCATGTAATATGAAGGTATTGATTCCAACTAACCCCACTCTTCCCTACTCACAAAACCCCTGATTTGTGTCAGCAACCATAGACATGTAGCAGAGGAACGCTTTTATGCAGCATAGCAGGGCAATATTGCAGTGATAGCCAAACAGAGCCTTTAACTGCACACAGCATAACTGCCCATGTGGAGCTCAAGGTGTAATCTTCCAGATCAAGAGTGCAAGGAGCACAGAGACTGGTGATATCACTGACATCAGTAGTCCCGCGCTCACAATTCTGCATCACTCATCACCAAATTGATCTATATTCTGGGCCAGAAATTTCTGGGAGAAAGGGTGAGGGGCCCATGACAGGAACAATAGGATTATTGATTGTGATTATTATTCTCAAATAATCTACATGTGATGGATGGGAGATCAAAAATGTAGTTGCAGCCATATAGCTGAAATGCTCTGAAAGTGAATCAGATACTATTCATTGTCAAGTACTTGTGTAAAACTGCAATACTGATGCAGCAATCAGATTACTTTTGTCAGCCTAAGTAATAATATTGCAGTACTGGGTGGACCGAGGCATTGCGAGCATAGAGGAGGATGAGGAGACTTACTTGCTGGGATAGAACATGCTCTTTATTCTAGTCCTGAACAGGACTGTAACAGGCACCCAACGAGCACCGAACCCTGCTCCACACTAGCAAAAACACAAGGTGGCCAGACGCTGGACCACCAGGTAAACACATGGTGGGTATCTTACACAACACTAGAGACACACGAGGATCATACAGGATGCAAATGGGCAAAAAGTAACATGGGCAAACACCCACGTGAAAATAGGGAAATACAATATAACCATAAGCAGAACATCAGGGCATATATGGGGCTATTTACAGTTACGCGAGGAACATGCTGGGACATGAAAACCCTGCTGGCGCTATGCTAGTGTAATGAATGTGTGGTTCATTTTAATAATGAAGACAACAGATCTTTTAAAATGGAATGAAAACAGAAGTCGACGATTCACCCAACAGTCACAATCACTTTTACTCAATAAAAGCGTACACATTCCGTGGTAAACATTAAAATGCACAAATACACATATCAATTTATACTATTTACACATACCCAAAGTGCAAAACATGCCAGTAACTGGCTAAAAGGTTGTGCTGACTGGTCCCATGGCATCACATTGCCCCCACCTGAGGGGTCAGCCATCCATAGTGACTCCCAAGCCTTTCACTGCAGCAATATTCCATGGGTCTGCCTGCACGCCCTCACTGATCACAACATGGCTCAACAGCTCCATCTTCTGCAACAGGTGGGTTGAGGTGCTGGCCAGTGTTACGGACGGCAGTGAAGATGGTGTGCAGGTTGCTCAGAGTTACGCTGTAATTGGCAGTGTAGGCAGGCAGATCATCCAGATGGATAACACACTGGCTCCAGGGCACATCAGTCCAGACTAGTGCCGGACAGAATACCAGTTAACCCCATCCTGGGTTGCACCAGGAAAGGCTCTGGACCCCCCATGACCCTGAGTAGGATAAGCAATTACAGAAGATGGGTGGATAATTAGGACTGCAAATAAATGAAGTTTGGTAAAGCAAACTCCCTAATATCGATTTATCATGATAATTATTAAAGTCATGACATATTGTTACCAAACTAAATACACAGTATGAATCAAAACATGTCACTATTTAGGTAAATATCCAATAAAAATGCTAGTAATACTATTAAGCTATTAAGATTGTGATCGAAATGTTTTTTTAGGCCTAATAAATTAAACAAACCTTTTCAAAAATGATTCTTACTGATGTGAACACTTGCTGCTCCAGTAAAGGTGAATTAGAAACAAAAAAAAAAAAAAAAAAAAAAAAAAAAAAAAAAAAAAAAAACACAGCAGGAAACGGGGGCCGCAAGGACCGGCTAACACGATACAAATTTTTGGTGATACCTCACAGCACTAGCTAAGACTCCTTCCATTAACCTCTCTAAGGTGGTGGGGGAGTTACAGTGTGTAGGCAAGCATCTGCTGGACCTGCTGCTGGATGCCCTTCAGTGTCATGTATTGGCGCAGAGCAGGGAGCAGGAGGGAAATAAGGTGCCGATCCACTGCTGGCTCCGCAACAAAAAAACAATGGTATATTTTAACTACAACACTGAGAATGACACAAAATAAGACCATGAGGGGTTAGGAAAACAAGCTACCAAAAAAAAAAAAAAAAACAACACTATCAAGAGAACACTATCAGGGCGCAGGACCAGAAAAGCAACATAGCAAAAGCACACAACAACATAACAACTGACTGATAAACTGAGTGAGAGCAGGCAGTTAAATACACACAAGGTATCAGGGCAAACAAAGGACAGGAGTACCTTGCAATCAACTCAACCAATCAAAGAGAACATAGATTAATTAGAAACAGAGTGGATTACAATTAACTAATCACTGGAACAAGGGAACTCCAACAAACACTGAGCACTATAAAACAATAAAAGCTAACAACACTGGGAATAACTAAGAACCAAGGAACACGCAAACATAATAAAACAAGACAGAGGCAGGAAAAATAATAAGATACAAGGAAAAACCAAAAGCTAAGGATAAAATAAAACCCAAAAATAAACAAATGGTAAGGTGGGCCAAAGGCCAGCCTCAAACCCACATCTGGAGGAGTGTCAGCTTCTAAGCCACTTGCTCAACCCATGAGCTATGCAGCAGTCTGGGGGAGCAAGGGCGAAACGCACAGGAGCTAAAGGGCTAAGAGACAGAGAGCAGAAAGGCAGGATGACCAGCAATACCTGCAGACTAACAGGGGAACACACACAATCAGACATCAACCCTGATACTCAGATGCTCCCGGGGACACCCCAGCTACTTCATACCTGACTTCTGTGGTACCTCTGGCTCCAGGGGTAGCCTGAACACCAAGTCCACTGGCATGCACTGCTTCCTCCCAAACATCAGTGCAGCTGGCATGCGCCGAGTGCTCCCCTGCACTGCCAATCAGTATATCCACAGGACCAGAGACAGGTGGCAGTCCCGGTCACACAGGTGGGGGGGGAACTGGATGGCAATCTGCATGGCAAGAGTGTGATTAAACTGCTGCACCAGCCCATCACTTTGAGAATGAAGGGGGTGGTGTGGGTCTTCACAATGCCCAGCTGCTTGCAGACCTCACCAAACATCTGTTCAAAGTTCCACCCTTGGTCACATTGCAGTTCCTCTACTACACTGAGGTGGCAGAAAAACTCACCGATGAGTTTCCCAGTTGTGGTCACTGCAGTCTGCTACAATGTGACTAATGCATTAATTAATATGCATACTACAGGGGTGGTCAATCTTATCCGCAAAGGGTCGGTGTGTATGCAGGTTTTTGGGATAACCTTTAGGTCAGCTTTTCAAGCCCAGGTGTCAGGACTTTTCAGCCAATCAGTCCTCTAATTGGTAATCTAATTAGGGAGTTGCAACGAAAACCTGCATACACACTGGCCCTTTCTGGATAAGATTAGTCAACCTGGTATACTAAAATGCACATATCCAAGGGGAAAGATATGGTTAGGGGAATGCAGCTCCAAAACTTAGTAACTTACATGTAACAGAATGCATTAAATAATAAAAACAGTGATACCGGTTGTCACGTTCCAGCAAGAAAGAAGACGGAGATCCAGAAATGCAGGGATCAGAGGGGTTTAATGAGGTAAGCGAGCGACTGGAAATGACGGTGAACAGTCCCGCCCAAAGAAGGGAAAACAGCTTCTCTGCCTGGATGGTAAGGGCGGGGGCAGGTGACCCGAGTGGGATCTCCCACTCGGAGAGCCGGTGCTGAGGTATCGGAGCAGCGCGCAGGAATCGGGGTTGTTGTATGTAATCCGGGGTCGATGCCAGGGAGGTCCGTCCGACACAGATAGACTGGAACAAGGGACACGAGGCTGGGGACGTAGTACGTGGCGGGACAGGTGAGTCAAGGACGGGAGCGGGTCTAAGGAGGGAAGGGAAGGAGTTAAGGGTCAAACACCGGGAGGACAGGTAAGGCTGGGAGATGTGGGTAAACAAGAGACAGGAAAAACGCTCGGTATGGCACGGTAACATCGGCTCAATACTTCGCAAGGAGTCTTGGCCAGTGTTCTCCTTTTAAACTGAGTTTAATCGGCTGTTGATGTGGTGCACCTGTCGGGCCCCGCCCCCGTGGGCGTGACAGTACCCCCCCCCCCCGACGGCTTCCTCCTGGTGGCCGGCGATGCTTGCGGGGACGACCCCGCGGACGAGGGGCCGGCTTGCCCGGGTGGGCTTGGTGGAACGCCTCCCTAATGGCCGGATTTGTCACGGTGGAAGCAGGAACCCAGCTGCTTTCGTCCGGGCCGTCCCCAGTCCAGCTAACCAGATATTGGAGCTGTCCCCGACGCCGTCGGGAATTCAGAAGGGAGTGGATTTGAGAAGGGAGGCCCTCCTCAGCGACAGGAGGGAGCTGTTCCTCCTGGGTCTCCGAGGTAGGACGTAAGCCACTGTATTTAACTGGCTTGAGGAGGGACACATGAAAGGTGGGACAAATGCGATATATACGGGGTAGTTGGAGCCTCACCGTCACATGTCCCATTCTTCGTGCTATTTTGAAGGGTCCAATGTAACAAGCCGTCAGCTTGCGACAACCAGGGATTCGGAGGTTCTTCGTGGACAACCATACCATTTGTCCCGCTCGATAGGGGAATCCCAGTCGGCGATGTTTGTCCGCTTGAATCTTGTAGCGATCTGACAGAGTACGAAGGGCGGCTTGGATGTGTCGCCACGCCTGTTTGCTGTCGTGGTACCAGGTCTTTACGCGCGGTACGGGTCCCAGGGCATCCCAGGGGAATAGGGGAGGCTGAAAACCCAGCACACACTGAAAAGGAGTTAATTTCGTGGTTGAACTCACCCGGGAGTTCAGGGAGTATTCCACCCATACTAAATGAGAAGACCAGCTGGCTGAGTCTGTTCGACATAGGAGTTGTAGAGCCTTGGACACCTCGCGGTTAGTCCGCTCAGCCAGACCATTCGACTGGGGGTGATATGCTGAGGTAAGGCTGAGTGACACCTGTAATTTGGCACAAAACTCCCGAAACACCCGGGAAGCGAACTGTGGTCCTTGATTGGAGATGATGTCCTCGGGGATGCCTGTGAAACGAAATAGCTCACAAATCAAGATATCAGCGAGGTCAACTGCAGTGGGCAGCTTAGGGAGCGCAACCAGACGACACATTTTGGAAAAGCGGTCGACGATGGTGAGAATTACCAGAGCAGCGAGGAATGTCAGTGATAAAATCCGTTACAACGTGTGACCATAGTCTAGAGGGCACAGGTAGGGATTGCAGGAAGCCGGCGGGACTCAAAGAGGAAGACTTACATCTCGCACAATCCGGACAGCTGTCCACAAAGGCGTGAACTTGTTGGCGCCACCCGGGCCACCAGTACCTGCAAGCCACGAGGAGTTGGGTGGCAGACACGCCGGGATGCCCGGTCCCGGGTTGTGTGTGAATCCACCTCAGCAGTTCTAATCGGTGGTGGCGAGACACGTATAGCAATCCTGGGGGGCAGCCAGACGGGATTGAGCGAATTTCATTTTCTAACCTTATGGCCTCCTCCAACCCCCAGGTGATGGAGGAGACGAAGCAAGAAGGGTTGAGGACTGGGTAAGTGTGGTCGTCGCTCTCCGGAGGATCGAATTGTCTTGACAGGGCGTCTGCTTTGATGTTCTTCTTGCCTGGGAGATAACTGACTCGGAAGGTGAAACGTGCAAATCATTGAGCCCAGCGAGCTTGGTGAGAGGAGAGTCGCTTGGCGGATTGGAGGTATTCCAAATTACGGTGGTCGGTTAGCATCACGAAAGGGTGACGAGCCCCCTCAAACCAGTGTCGCCACTCCTCTAGGGCTAACTTCATAGCGAGAAGTTCTCGACCACCCACCTCGTAATTACGTTCCACTACAGTCAGTTTCCTTGAATAATAGGCACAGGGATGTCTACGCCCCGTCTCCAGGTCGCGTTGAATCAGAACCGCTCCAACTCCGGCCTCGGAAGCATCCACCTCCACTTCAAACGGGAGCTTGGGATTTGGCTGTCTGAGCACTGGAGCGGTGCAGAAAGCTTGCTTAAGGTGAGCAAAAGCGTGATCGGCGTCAGAGGTCCAGTGGAGCCGGGTGGGCTTACCGCGAGTCAAGGAAGTGAGAGGCGCGGCTATCTGACTGTAATTATGTATAAACCTCCTGTAAAAGTTTGCGAAACCCAGGAAACGTTGTAGGTCTTTGAGGGTCCGAGGCTGTGGCCAGCTTTGGATCGCTGTGATTTTCTGATCGTCCATAGCCACAGCCCCGGGTTGGATGACATACCCCAGAAACCTCACCTGGCTTTGATGGAACTCGCACTTCTCTCCTTTTACATAGAGATGGTGTTCACGGAACCGCTGCAATACTTGTCACACATGCTGTATGTGAGCCTGCTTAGAGGGTGAGTAAATCAATATTTCATCAATGTACACTACGACATACTTGTTTATCATGTCATGGAACACTCGATTCATGAAGGATTGGAATATTGAGGGACTATTAGCCAATCCGTAAGGCATCACAAGATACTCGTACTGCCCCCTACTGGTGATAAAACAGGTCTTCCACTCGTCACCTGCACGTATTCTCACCAGATTGTACGCGCTCTGTAGATCAAGCTTGGTGAAGATCACTGCGTCACGGAGCCGCTCTAAAGAGGAAGGGATTAATGGGAGAGGGTCTCGTCATTTGACCGTAATGGCATTCAGAGCCCGGTAGTCCACCACGGGCTGCAGTCCTCCATCCTTCTTCTTAATAAAGAAAGTTACGGGCGAGGTGGAGGGCTGGATGATTCCCTGCTTCAGCCCCTCCCAGATGTAGGTCTCTAGAGACTCCTCCTCATTTAACGAGACTGGGTACAACCGGCCTCGAGGCCACGTACCTCCTTCCAGGAGTTCGATGGCGCAGTCGCAATCCCGATGAGGAGGGAGGCCGAAAGCTTTCTCCTTACTGAATACATCTAGGAAGTCTAAGTACTCCTCCAGAATGGCACCTAGGTTCTCCGGTTCCGGGCTCTCCACTCCTGTAGCTTTGCAGGGAACAGACATACAGTCACGCAGACAGTGTTCGGACCAGGCGGCGATCTCCCCCGTTCGCCACTCCAGCCGGGGATTGTGCTTTCGCAGCCACAGGAGCCCCAGTATTAATGGATCTTTGGTTTTAGGCAGCACATAAACCTCCAACGACTCGGAGTGTAGAACCCCCACCTGCAA